GTTGCAGTTAGATACATAGTACATTTGAATCTTGAAAAAGATGAATAAATTTAGAAAGATAGTAAAAAAATTATAGAAAAAAAATTCTGGAGAAATATAGGCTTTATAAAATAAACTTCTTTCTAATAAAATTTTATTTATATGTAACTTATTTAATAAAAATATCCGAATGTTTATTTTATGAATTAAATAGTATATATTAAAAATACAACAAGTTTATATCTATAGATTTATGCTTGAATAAAAATATAACTTTTAAAAATAAATTATAAACATACACTTTAATTTTGTTTACACTTATTACACATTTAATTTTCCTTTCAATCTCTCTTTCTTTATCACATCATATAACCTGTAAACAATTTTTTTCTCTGTATGTATATTAAATGTTGATGCACATTTTCAATGTCCATAAATTAGTTTTTTCCGAAAAATTAAAAAGGATAATTTGCAAGAATGATTACGAAAGAAATGGGTTTAAAAAGTAAAAAAGTTTTGATAGAATGAAATTATCATTTCTATTCATAAATTATTAAAACTTTCTCATAAATAATTTTAATGGAGAGATTACTTATTTTTTGTATAGAGATGATGTGATTTTCAATATATATATATATATATATATATATATATATATATATTATTAATAAAAGTAAATACAAAATTAGTCATGAAAAGAATTCAACTTTGTATGAATCGTATAAATAATAAAATATACACATTAAACTTGATCCAACTAAATTACTTGTTTAACAACTAACATTTTATTTTGTAATCACAACTCATTTAAAATTTGTAAGAATCAATTGCGACTTATGGGATTTAATTGAGTTTTTTTTTTTAAAAAGACACTTATGGGATATTTGTAATTCACATAAATAATTATGAAATTATCCTAGTCATAAATTACCCGGTAAAAAACAGTGCATCTTCTGGTAACCTAAATTGATCACGCTAACCAATAGGGATTGATCTTACTTTAAGATTGACCACTCTAGGCAATAGAAACAAGCCACATCAGCATGAAAGACACGTGTACCCCAGAAATTGTAACATTACAGTCACAAGCCGAGGAGAAAAGAGTCTTTGTCCTCTGGATTGAAACAAAGGGAAAATAAATGCCTAACACAGCAGAATCCCCCATAAGGCAATCTATATCATGTTTCTCTGAATCAAACTCGCTTGCTCAAGGGAATCAATTAATCAACCAGATCTGAGACCGTGTTCGGCTGGTTTAAACTATTATTTCAGTAAGTTGTTTCGCAACAAAATTTTCAATTTGAGATTTATCTCCTCAATGTTCAATTGCATATATTGTTCTTCATTTTTTAGTCCCTCCATTGTCTATTAATTTCAATGGGCTTTTGGTTTTATACTTTTAAATTTTTGTCTCAAGGATTTAATTGAGAGTAGGTATTCCGGATAAAGGTGTCTGCAGCTACTGCTGTGGCACAACATTGGGTTTTTCTTTCATTGGTCTTGTTGAATCAGGTGCATCCTATGTTTCCGGTGTATAGTTTTTGTTATGTATTAGGGTTTACTTTTTTTTCACCCAAAGGAGAAGTATGTGTAAGTTCTGTATGTCAACGGGTACTTCTTAATTCTCGTGGGTTTGTTTATCTGGTTAGTTCTGGAGCAACAATTGTGAGGGAAGAAGTTTGATGAAAATGCTCAAGTGGATGGATCAGTGCGCTAGAACATCTAATTGAAATGCACTTGTAGGGAAGTGCTTTGGGGATTTGGGGTTCTCATTTGTCCACATGGCTTGTTCATGATATCACTAGATTTGACTGGGTGCTGTTTGCAATCGTGCTTGATGTGGTTTAAGTGGCCAGTGGAGTGGGGCCGCGTCACTTGATGCAGTCTGCAATTAAAGTCTTGCTAAGGTTTTGAATTTCAATGATTATTTGGTTTTGTTCCCGTGTCCTTCCTAACTTCAGGTGTTTACTGCAATGCTTTGCAATTGAAGTGATAATTTACATTTTTTATATGTCAATAATTCAACAATAACTTGTGATTATTTCACCTCTGAAGTTGTCTGGAGGGAAAAAGAGAGCCGTTTTTGTTTTGTTTAGTCTTGAAGAATAAGAACCAAGCGTAAGATGTTTGTTTGGGGTGCAAAAGCTGATGCAGAGGGAGTGATAAGGAGGATAAGTTTTGGCTATTTATTGAATATTTTTAATAGAAAGATGACGATTGTCACTATAAAGGTTGTCAAATTTGAGTGTTAATTTGTAGGATCGTACAAGTTAATGATCCAATCAGCCTCCAACGAGCCAAAACGCTCCTAGAATTGTTTTTGTGCAGGCTCAGTTGGATTTGTGATTTTCAAGAGCTATTTCACCTCTTGAAAATGGCACCATAGCTTTGTTCCAAAATGACACCCTGTCACTCTGTTTTAAGGCACACTAAATCAGAAACTTATTGATAAACTTATTAATTGTCAGTCATAAACTTGTACCCAGACATGAGAATTATTGCATGATTGAATTCAAATGTGTTCTTAAATAAAAATTCAATTGATTTTTTCCTGAATATGTTTCCAGTTGGCTGGCTTTGTCTCCAGTGACTTCAAAGTAACCCCTGTGCCCTAGCCATGGCTGCACCGTTTTTCTCAACACCTTTTCAGCCTTATGTTTATCAGGTACTTGCATCAATTCTTGTCCTTAAAAAATACTTTTTTATTTTTTTAACTTCCCTTGTTTTTAATCAATTGACTTCTGTTAGTCTTGATTCTAGAACAGCTTGAATTATAAATTAATATGTTAGATGCATTGATGACTTCTCAACTAGAGTTGTAATTTGTGAAATTGGAGTACTCTAGATCAATTTGTATCTTTAAATATTGCTATATTTTTGCAATTGAGGTTGCTGTTTAGTTAATTTGATATGATGGCTTCATTCTATGATTGACAAACTTTAGTTGAGTCCTGGATCATGATAGTTTACTCCTTTGGTCCTTGCGCCTTTGAGCTAACAAAACTCCTCTGGAACATGCAAAATGATATTATATAAAAAGACCTTGTTTGATGTTTGGTGTACTTTTAAGGAATGTAAAATACTTTTATTATCATGCATACAGTTTTCAGTAAAATGGCTGAGTATAAGAAGTTAACCACACAAAAAACCTGCAGTACTGATGCTAGAAAATGGAAATACGTAGTAGATATTCTAACACGCAAATCTAAGAAAAAGGAAGGTTTCTCAGTATAGTTATTCATATATTTTGTTTGTAAGCATTATTTATCAAGGGTGTTTTCTTTTCATGTTTTGCTGTTTAGAGCCCGCAAGATGCAATTATACCTTTTCAGATTTTAGGGGGTGAAGCTCAAGTGGTTCAGGTATATGTGAAAATCTAAAGTTTAAATGCCAATGTTTTGGAAACTATATATTGTCTACTTACTGTATTATCATTCTTCATCTGGTTTTTGCAAATGTAGATAATGTTGAAGCCACAGGAAAGAATCATCGCAAAACCTGGTTAGTTGTTGGGAACTTTTATTCATTGGGTTTGAATTTTTCCTTGATGATCTTTCTTCTCAAGGTATTGAATAAAATTTTGTGCGGTCATTTTGAACTGCTAAAATATTAAGTGCATGCTCTTGCTTATGAAACTGACACAAACGTGATTTATGGATAATAATGAACATTGCCGTGGAAGGTGAATCTTGGTGCAACACTAAGGTTGCTGCCTTATGACTTGGAGGTCATGGGTTTAAATCCTGGAAACAACCTCTCTCATTATGGGTATAGGCCGTGTATATTTAACAACCCCACCCTCTGCTGGTCACGACTCTTAAACAATTGTGGATGAAATAACCTATATATTTTTTTTGCAAATATTTATTCATATTTTTTTTCTAAATTTTTTGTTTTAGATTTCTTAAAATATTTAGTACTAGCTGTACACCTTTTTACATGTTTTTTTTTATGAACTAAAATTTATCGAAAAACTATAATTTTAGGAGCTGGGTTCATTAAATAAGAAGTTACCTACATAATTTATGGTTTGTAACAAATTTTAGCTAATAGTAAATAATGTGTGTTATCATTTCTTAAAAATAGTTTGAGTAACTACCTGATAAATGTCATACTGAAATGCGTTTTGAAAAAAGAATAATTGAATCTCTTGCTCTTAAATTTTGTTTTGACCTGTTTGTTGCCAATAAGCATGTTAGTGACTGTTTTATCTCTCCCTAATTCTTCTAAAGGAAGTATCATCAAGTAGGGAGTTACCAAGAAGTAAATTTTTGTGGGAGTGGAGCTGTACAGATAATTTTCTTTGTTATTTTGTTTTCCTAGTAGTCCTCGTTATAATATTTTTTAATGCTTTTTAATGCTTATTGATAACAATATGGCAATAAATTGACCTACATCGGTGTCTGTATTATTGATTAAGTTACAATTTGTGGATCACACCTGTCAATATTTTAATGGAACCTGTATGCTATTTACTTGTAGGTTCCATGTGCTTTATGTCTGGATCCATTGAAATGGAAAATGCCTACCTTCCCGAAAATGAAGTGGGTGTATGGCAGTGGTTATTTGGCAAAACAATAACTAGCATTGTTCTTCACAATTCTGGACCAAGTGAAGGGTTTGTTGGAATTGCTGCACCATATTTCGCAAGAATTCTTCCGGTTTGTACTTATGTGCCTTTTCAAACTATTGTTACCCTTGTTTTAAGTCTCAATATTCATCATCTGAAATAAATATTGGTATATATATGACTGGATTTCTCTTTATATGTATATATGCTTATGTGTCTGTTATTCAAATACAGATTGATTTGGCAATGTTCAATGGAGAGATTTTGTGTCAGGTATAACCAATTTGTTTGCAGTTGTTGTTAAATTTGATTTTAGATTCTAAAATTTGATCTACAGGTTTACTGGTTGTTGAATTTTCTTTTAAATCTAAGAAACAGAATACAAATTAACCTTGTTTTGAATTTTTCTGCACTCTGTAGCCAGATGCGTTTCTGTGCTCTGTCAATGATGTGAAGGTTAGCAACATAGTAGATCAGAGGGGGCGAAATATTGTTGCTAGTGCTGAGGTGAGATATTTGGGATGTTTCCTATAATTATTTGTCTTTGTTACTTCCTTGGTATCAATTGCATGGCAGCCCACGTAGTTTTCCTTTTGGGCGCGGTTATTTTATTTTGATACATTACAAAATTGGACATTGGTTTTGAACTCCAAGATGAACAGCCTATGTACGCTTTAATGCTACATTGAATTCTTTTTGTACCAAAAGATATTATCAACAATGACAAGAGATGTCCCTATGATGCATTACTTGTCTGTTGACGGATCTTCTTGCGATTGATACACAATCTCTTGTTCGTAATCGATATTTTTAGGTTGCATTTGCATTCATTAATGAGTTTATTATATCCATGGTATGGAGAAGAAAACCAATAAATTATGATTTTAATTCTTTGCTTCGTTATTGTGTGGTACCATATAATCTACCACCAGTTATTGTTTGAGAGTTTTTTAATATTTTTCCTCAAAGTTCCTAAAATTACAGTTTTATTTGCATCAGCCCTTAGGACATAGAAGAATGTTGTGTTTCCAATGTATTACATGTTTCCTTTCTCAATAAAAGTTTCCCACTTTTATCTTAACTTCAGCCTAAAATTTATTTACCACTTTTCTTTCCATGAAAATTGTTGATGTTATGGGAATAAAAATTAAAGTTTATATTGGAAAAAATAAGGAAATACATGACGTTTGTATTTAGAATGTGGTAAATGTTTTCTTTTCCAATAATAACTGTCCGGTTTTATCTTCTTTAACATAAGCCCTGAAACTTATTATAAACATATTCAACATTAGAGGTGTTCTGTTGGAGATGAAATTTCGAAGTTAGGAGTCCTTTTAGTTTGAGAAAACATTTTTTGTTTTCAGTTTCAGTTTTCACTAATAATAATTACAAAAAATGGCGTTGTGAAAATAGGCGAAGAATTTTTTGTCAAACCAATTGGGCAGGCCTCTTTGTCATGCATGCCTCCATATCATTTCTCTAAGACCATGCTCTTTTTGTAGGGACTCTTGAGACAGAAGCTATCTGGCCAAGGGCTTGCTTTCATATTAGCGGGTGGATCTGGTATTCTTTTCTTCTAAACATTATAAAGTCTTTCTCTTGTTCCATTTGGAACTCTCAGCTCCTCCGGAATTCATCATTGTAGTTTTAATGTCAATTTTATTAAGTTTTTGCTTTGAATTTTTTTCTCTTTTCTTTTTCACCATACTCTTTTGTTATTTCTCATTGGGACGCTCTATTGGATTCTGTCCTCTTGTTAGTTGTACAGAAAAATCTTGAGATCGGTGAAGTTCTAGCTGTTGATGTTTCTTCCATTGTTGCTGTGACAAGTACGGTCAATATCCAAATAAAATATAATGGTCCTGTACGAAGGACAATGTTTGGGGTAAGTAGCTTTTACAGCTCAAGCATTTTGTATTCAATCAATACTGATATTAAGTAGTTTCTTTAATTACTTTTGGATGAGGAAAGACCCTCACCTAGCGGGATAATATTTTATTGATGTTGTGGGGGATCATGAACTTTGCCTGGTTGGTAATGGTATCTCCATTCGTCCTTGATAATGGTAGGATTTGCTTCCAATTTCAAAGTTATTCTTTATTGAAAAAGACTTCACCAGCTGACAACTTCGGTTGTAAACTTCGCAATTGTCTGTGCATATATGCTGGCAAAACTTGAGAGTTTGCATTGCTAAACCAATCAAGTCTCTTTAAAGTGAGGTGTAGTTTACAGGATAGGGATCCAACCCATCCATAAAATTCTAATACACACGGATCGCAAGATCCTCGACAGTAGGCAATTATGCTATAATGACAAAGATGATACAGGCTACAGTACAATGTATTCGCATTTTCATCACGGTGACCATAATGCTTCCTTGGTTGGATGTTCATGCATTGCTTTCTTATAACACGATTCTTCCAACACCCATAACTTTTTCTAGAATGTGTTATATATGATCGTGATATCGAAAATTGCAGGGTGACAATGCGGTCACAGCTCTTCTAACAGGACCAGGCATTGTGTTCATACAAAGCTTACCTTTTCATCGACTCTCCCAACGAATTGCTAGGTAACGTTGTGGTCGAGTTATCAGACAAAGTCACAATATCATTTCAAAAACTGTCATGGACCTGTCTTCTACTTTTGCTTGGACATGCTCTCATGATTTTATTTTTACCTTTGTGAACTTTTGAACGATTTTGTAATAGAATTCAATTTCTGCTTTTCAGGGCGGTGACTTCACCAAACATGAGGGAAAATCCCAAGTTTTTCATACAGATTGCAGTTTTCTTTTTTCTGGCGTACGTTGTTATTGTATCTTCGTTAATATTAACAGATGTATGAAATTCACTTTGTATTTTTTTTTNTTACTTTTTTTTTTCACCCAAAGGAGAAGTATGTGTAAGTTCTGTATGTCAACGGGTACTTCTTAATTCTCGTGGGTTTGTTTATCTGGTTAGTTCTGGAGCAACAATTGTGAGGGAAGAAAGTTTGATGAAAATGCTCAAGTGGATGGATCAGTGCGCTAGAACATCTAATTGAAATGCACTTGTAGGGAAGTGCTTTGGGGATTTGGGGTTCTCATTTGTCCACATGGCTTGTTCATGATATCACTAGATTTGACTGGGTGCTGTTTGCAATCGTGCTTGATGTGGTTTAAGTGGCCAGTGGAGTGGGGCCGCGTCACTTGATGCAGTCTGCAATTAAAGTCTTGCTAAGGTTTTGAATTTCAATGATTATTTGGTTTTGTTCCCGTGTCCTTCCTAACTTCAGGTGTTTACTGCAATGCTTTGCAATTGAAGTGATAATTTACATTTTTTATATGTCAATAATTCAACAATAACTTGTGATTATTTCACCTCTGAAGTTGTCTGGAGGGAAAAAGAGAGCCGTTTTTGTTTTGTTTAGTCTTGAAGAATAAGAACCAAGCGTAAGATGTTTGTTTGGGGTGCAAAAGCTGATGCAGAGGGAGTGATAAGGAGGATAAGTTTTGGCTATTTATTGAATATTTTTAATAGAAAGATGACGATTGTCACTATAAAGGTTGTCAAATTTGAGTGTTAATTTGTAGGATCGTACAAGTTAATGATCCAATCAGCCTCCAACGAGCCAAAACGCTCCTAGAATTGTTTTTGTGCAGGCTCAGTTGGAATTGTGATTTTCAAGAGCTATTTCACCTCTTGAAAATGGCACCACAGCTTTGTTCCAAAATGACACCCTGTCACTCTGTTTTAAGGCACACTAAATCAGAAACTTATTGATAAACTTATTAATTGTCAGTCATAAACTTGTACCCAGACATGAGAATTATTGCATGATTGAATTCAAATGTGTTCTTAAATAAAAATTCAATTGATTTTTTCCTGAATATGTTTCCAGTTGGCTGGCTTTGTCTCCAGTGACTTCAAAGTAACCCCTGTGCCCTAGCCATGGCTGCACCGTTTTTCTCAACACCTTTTCAGCCTTATGTTTATCAGGTACTTGCATCAATTCTTGTCCTTAAAAAATACTTTTTTATTTTTTTAACTTCCCTTGTTTTTAATCAATTGACTTCTGTTAGTCTTGATTCTAGAACAGCTTGAATTATAAATTAATATGTTAGATGCATTGATGACTTCTCAACTAGAGTTGTAATTTGTGAAATTGGAGTACTCTAGATCAATTTGTATCTTTAAATATTGCTATATTTTTGCAATTGAGGTTGCTGTTTAGTTAATTTGATATGATGGCTTCATTCTATGATTGACAAACTTTAGTTGAGTCCTGGATCATGATAGTTTACTCCTTTGGTCCATGCGCCTTTGAGCTAACAAAACTCCTCTGGAACATGCAAAATGATATTATATAAAAAGACCTTGTTTGATGTTTGGTGTACTTTTAAGGAATGTAAAATACTTTTATTATCATGCATACAGTTTTCAGTAAAATGGCTGAGTATAAGAAGTTAACCACACAAAAAACCTGCAGTACTGATGCTAGAAAATGGAAATACGTAGTAGATATTCTAACACGCAAATCTAAGAAAAAGGAAGGTTTCTCAGTATAGTTATTCATATATTTTGTTTGTAAGCATTATTTATCAAGGGTGTTTTCTTTTCATGTTTTGCTGTTTAGAGCCCGCAAGATGCAATTATACCTTTTCAGATTTTAGGGGGTGAAGCTCAAGTGGTTCAGGTATATGTGAAAATCTAAAGTTTAAATGCCAATGTTTTGGAAACTATATATTGTCTACTTACTGTATTATCATTCTTCATCTGGTTTTTGCAAATGTAGATAATGTTGAAGCCACAGGAAAGAATCATCGCAAAACCTGGTTAGTTGTTGGGAACTTTTATTCATTGGGTTTGAATTTTTCCTTGATGATCTTTCTTCTCAAGGTATTGAATAAAATTTTGTGCGGTCATTTTGAACTGCTAAAATATTAAGTGCATGCTCTTGCTTATGAAACTGACACAAACGTGATTTATGGATAATAATGAACATTGCCGTGGAAGGTGAATCTTGGTGCAACACTAAGGTTGCTGCCTTAAGACTTGGAGGTCATGGGTTTAAATCCTGGAAACAACCTCTCTCATTAGGGGTATAGGCCGTGTATATTTAACAACCCCACCCTCTGCTGGTCACGACTCTTAAACAATTGTGGATGAAATAACCTATATATTTTGTTTGCAAATATTTATTCATATTTTTTTTCTAAATTTTTTGTTTTAGATTTCTTAAAATATTTAGTACTAGCTGTACACCTTTTTACATGTTTTTTTTTATGAACTAAAATTTATCGAAAAACTATAATTTTAGGAGCTGGGTTCATTAAATAAGAAGTTACCTACATAATTTATGGTTTGTAACAAATTTTAGCTAATAGTAAATAATGTGTGTTAACATTTCTTAAAAATAGTTTGAGTAACTACCTGATAAATGTCATACTGAAATGCGTTTTGAAAAAAGAATAATTGAATCCCTTGCTCTTAAATTTTGTTGTGACCTGTTTGTTGCCAATAAGCATGTTAGTGACTGTTTTATCTCTCCCTAATTCTTCTAAAGGAAGTATCATCAAGTAGGGAGTTACCAAGAAGTAAATTTTTGTGGGAGTGGAGCTGTACAGATAATTTTCTTTGTTATTTTGTTTTCCTAGTAGTCCTCGTTATAATATTTTTTAATGCTTTTTAATGCTTATTGATAACAATATGGCAATAAATTGACCTACATCGGTGTCTGTATTATTGATTAAGTTACAATTTGTGGATCACACCTGTCAATATTTTAATGGAACCTGTATGCTATTTACTTGTAGGTTCCATGTGCTTTATGTCTGGATCCATTGAAATGGAAAATGCCTACCTTCCCGAAAATGAAGTGGGTGTATGGCAGTGGTTATTTGGCAAAACAATAACTAGCATTGTTCTTCACAATTCTGGACCAAGTGAAGGGTTTGTTGGAATTGCTGCACCATATTTCGCAAGAATTCTTCCGGTTTGTACTTATGTGCCTTTTCAAACTATTGTTACCCTTGTTTTAAGTCTCAATATTCATCATCTGAAATAAATATTGGTATATATATGACTGGATTTCTCTTTATATGTATATATGCTTATGTGTCTGTTATTCAAATACAGATTGATTTGGCAATGTTCAATGGAGAGATTTTGTGTCAGGTATAACCAATTTGTTTGCAGTTGTTGTTAAATTTGATTTTAGATTCTAAAATTTGATCTACAGGTTTACTGGTTGTTGAATTTTCTTTTAAATCTAAGAAACAGAATACAAATTAACCTTGTTTTGAATTTTTCTGCACTCTGTAGCCAGATGCGTTTCTGTGCTCTGTCAATGATGTGAAGGTTAGCAACATAGTAGATCAGAGGGGGCGAAATATTGTTGCTAGTGCTGAGGTGAGATATTTGGGATGTTTCCTATAATTATTTGTCTTTGTTATTTTCTTGGTATCAATTGCATGGCAGCCCACGTAGTTTTCCTTTTGGGCGCGGTTATTTTATTTTGATACATTACAAAATTGGACATTGGTTTTGAACTCCAAGATGAACAGCCTATGTACGCTTTAATGCTACATTGAATTCTTTTTGTACCAAAAGATATTATCAACAATGACAAGAGATGTCCCTATGATGCATTACTTGTCTGTTGACGGATCTTCTTGCGATTGATACACAATTTCTTGTTCTTAATCGATATTTTTAGGTTGCATTTGCATTCATTAATGAGTTTATTATATCCATGGTATGGAGAAGAAAACCAATAAATTATGATTTTAATTCTTTGCTTCGTTATTGTGTGGTACCATATAATCTACCACCAGTTATTGTTTGAGAGTTTTTTAATATTTTTCCTCAAAGTTCCTAAAATTACAGTTTTATTTGCATCAGCCCTTAGGACATAGAAGAATGTTGTGTTTCCAATGTATTACATGTTTCCTTTCTCAATAAAAGTTTCCCACTTTTATCTTAACTTCAGCCTAAAATTTATTTACCACTTTTCTTTCCATGAAAATTGTTGATGTTATGGGAATAAAAATTAAAGTTTATATTGGAAAAAATAAGGAAATACATGACGTTTGTATTTAGAATGTGGTAAATGTTTTCTTTTCCAATAATAACTGTCCGGTTTTATCTTCTTTAACATAAGCCCTGAAACTTATTATAAACATATTCAACATTAGAGGTGTTCTGTTGGAGATGAAATTTCGAAGTTAGGAGTCCTTTTAGTTTGAGAAAACATTTTTTGTTTTCAGTTTCAGTTTTCACTAATAATAATTACAAAAAATGGCGTTGTGAAAATAGGCGAAGAATTTTTTGTCAAACCAATTGGGCAGGCCTCTTTGTCATGCATGCCTCCATATCATTTCTCTAAGACCATGCTCTTTTTGTAGGGACTCTTGAGACAGAAGCTATCTGGCCAAGGGCTTGCTTTCATATTAGCGGGTGGATCTGGTATTCTTTTCTTCTAAACATTATAAAGTCTTTCTCTTGTTCCATTTGGAACTCTCAGCTCCTCCGGAATTCATCATTGTAGTTTTAATGTCAATTTTATTAAGTTTTTGCTTTGAATTTTTTTCTCTTTTCTTTTTCACCATACTCTTTTGTTATTTCTCATTGGGACGCTCTATTGGATTCTGTCCTCTTGTTAGTTGTACAGAAAAATCTTGAGATCGGTGAAGTTCTAGCTGTTGATGTTTCTTCCATTGTTGCTGTGACAAGTACGGTCAATATCCAAATAAAATATAATGGTCCTGTACGAAGGACAATGTTTGGGGTAAGTAGCTTTTACAGCTCAAGCATTTTGTATTCAATCAATACTGATATTAAGTAGTTTCTTTAATTACTTTTGGATGAGGAAAGACCCTCACCTAGCGGGATAATAT